AGACTACAGATTTCAAGATGCACTAAGCTTAATATGGTTCCAGATGGGCTAAGGTTCATGACTTCTCTTCAGGAGTTGGAGATTATATCAATGTTTCGTGCATTCAGACTCAAACTTGAGAAGGGAGGAGAAGATCATTATAAAGTCCAACATGTACCAAGCCTGTTATTTCGTTATTGTGACTACTAATTTGAGATGGCAATTTCAATAGCAAACCACAGTCTGGCGAGAACACTAGAGGAGGCAACCACAACTGGGTCTACAGCAAATATGAATGGTACATGGATGAAGTCCTACAAATCACAGGTATTTTCAGAAAGGACCTATGTTTATGTCCAAAACAGGGTGGATACTGTCAGACACCTTGCAACATTGTATGATCCTCTAGATTACTTGTTACAGCTCAGATTTTATCATATGGCCATGATACTGTCATTGTTGGGACTTGTATTTGTGCCAATGTCCATACTTTCTAGATGTAATATTTGTTATGTTTGATATGTTTAGGTCTTTATATAATATAAAAATTCTAATAAGTTGCCCTATTCATGAGCTATTAACAATACAGCGTGTAAGTAAATTCTTGTTACTGATCATTTGAAAAAATTATATTATTTTTAATCGCAATGTGTTAGTTAAGTGTTTTCTGATATGGTCGTGACCACGACGTAGAGAGTGATATTAAGAGTTATTACCATTAATTAGCATATCAATAGTATGTTAATTAATATCCAAGAATCAAGACATAACTGGTTCACCACACCCCACAAAGGAAATGCATCTACGTGTTGGTTTAATTTGTACTTCTAATTGTGTTCTTCAGTCTCCCAACTTGTCTGGGTCATCTAAATCTGAGCTATACCCTGACTCCTGGATAAATATATGCAGTCTCTTGGATTCACAATACCATATTAATTTATTCCACAAACTGCATGCGTGCTCCTTTATTATTTTAATTAAGTAAAGAGCAGGTGCCTAACACTATAGCTTATTCTCCAGGGATGACTTTTTTCACTCCACACAGGATGAGTTATTAAAGTTTTGTTTTGAATTCTCTAACTTGGGATTTAAAAAGGACCATGTTCGTTCAAATCAATTTTTCGTATGGAATCTGGTCATTTTAGTTGGCCAGGAATAGAGCTGTTTAAACATCAAAGCAGTGTTCGGTAAAGAATATACTTTTCCGGTCCTAAATATAAGACCCATTTTATAATGTAATTTACAATACAAAATAGGTCTTATATCTAAGACCGGAGTAGAATTTGTTGATATTAGTAAAAGGGTGATTAAATAGAGCGAGCAAGTCGTTTTGTTGAAGTCTGCTGGTCTTGGAGGGTGTTGCACAAAGAGGCTCTGATGCATGAGTATTCTCAATAACTGATGAGTAGGATTAGTAATTAGTTAAGAATCAGTTGGTTGTCTGGTTTGTTGGAGAAGCCCCCTCTATTTGTATAAAGCAGTGGAGGTTCCAGTATAATGTATCAGGTGCTCAAAAAAGGACGTCATAGAGTCTGTTGTGATAGCTGTGGAACTTGGATTGCAGGTTTTATAGGTCTGGATCTTGAGAGTGTTCTGCAAGTACAATTTTGGGGCATTTTGATTAATATGGACTTGGAGATTTGTTAAGAACGTTTGAAATGAGACTGATACACACACTCAATGTTAAACTCGTCGTTTGATAGGTACCTTTTTTTTTTTTTTGCCTGATTGTTCCTAGGTACAAATTATCAGATTCTGGTTCGCTAACCAACCTAGTTTAAGTCAATCTGGCATTATGTCAATTGATTAGATAAATTAGCAGCAACTAGAATTTTGTTAGAAGTAGAGAAATTGTATATGTAATTTATATATGAAACTCAATACAATGGCCTATTCAACCAATTAAAGCTGTGTTTGGGATCACGTTTGGCCCCCAAACGTGCATCCCTACCACAAAAGTTATCAGGCTACTCAAAATTTTGGTTTGGACCCACGTTTGTAAAATCTGACTTGTAGAGCCGAAATGAACTTCTGTAAGAAGCTGATTCTAGGTGCTTTTTTTTTTTTTTTACTTTTGAGTGAGGAGGGCGTTGGGATAATACATGGGGTGTTAGACATTGATAATACCCTGGTCCATATTATTGGCACTTTCTAAAATGAATTAATATTCTTATTTTTCACCTCTTTAATTCCTAATTTTAAATGTGATTAATTTTTTTTTTAAATTTCCAAGCAAACTTAATATTTTTTACCGAAAGAAAATTTATTTTTAATAATTTTATTTTTCTTACTTCTTAAAAAATAGTCACATTATATATATCTAATATTATATATGTACTATTTAATAAAATTCATGTTCTTTTAAGTCATTTTACATTCAAACTTACTTTTACATTTATCATCCAAACAAGTTTTAGTTTCTCAAACTGATTTTTTTTCAAAACCCAATCCAGACATAAATCACATTATCCTATCTGACTTTTACTCAATCTGACTTCTATAAAAGTCAAATTGAAAAAAAGTTACTTTTTTTATTGTTATTCCAAACACACCCTAAGAATCGATTTGATATGACAATCTGAGTATGAAAAAGTGGCTTTTGGGCTTATAAGCACGTTTGGATTAGCTTTTTACCTATCTAACTTATAGGCACAAAATTACTTTTAATCATGCGATTTTGTGAAATTATTTCTAATTGCTTTTTACTTTTCTCATCATGCTTTTGCGCCAGATTCTTTATCTTCTCCCTTATTTTGTCGTGATATGCTTTTCCCAGCAGGTTAATCTCCTCTTATATATGCATATATATGCCCGTTTAACATAGATTTTTTTATATAATATTTCTAATTTTTAAAATTATTTTTCATTTTATATTTATATAAATTGTACACAAGTATATCATTTAATTAATTATGTAATATTATTTGATTGAAAAATTTTCACCGATTTCTTATATAAATACATTTTATCATTAATTTAACTTTTTCCAATTAAAATAATTAGAAATTATTGTATTATGTAAATTGATTTTTTTATTTTTTTATTTAATAAAAGTCATACCCATTTTGATAATTTTACAAAGTAAATTTGCTTATTCAATCATAATCCAAACAACTTCTACTTTTTCAAACTAATTTATTCATAAAAATCAATTCAAATATAAATCACATTAACTAATTTAACTTTTATCAAAACTAACTTTTTTAAAAGTCAAATTAAAAATAAGCTATTTTTCCTACCACTAATCCAAATAGGCCCTAAACTAGCAAAAATCTCGACAAATATTTTGCATCTTAAATTCAACTACAAACCTGAAAATAAGACAAGCGTTATTATAACTCATAGGACAAGGTTTAAATTAATCTGTATTATTAAATTTGATTAATTAAGGTCACTGTGCTGAAGATTAAAACATAAACATGAGAAAGTTGTTGAGTAATTTTTTTTCTAATAAAATATTTATAATTAGCTTAAGCCTTAATGCTCTCTCAACAATTCAATGTTGAACTTAACTAAGATATTTTTTCCCCTTAATTTTGTTTGAATTTTTAATGAATGGTCCTAATATTTTTAACGAATTTTGGTTTTGCTCTCTATATTTAAACTAAGATCAATTATTATGAAATTATAGGAATAAAAATCAAAATTGAATTAAACTATGAGGACAAACAACGATATTAATCATAATCTCCATCTCAATGATAATTGATCCACACCCAAAAAGAACGGTAGAAATAAATATGGGCCAGTTCAACTTTTAGCCTAATCCGAACTATGACCCCATCCAAGTTGGGTTGGGACCCAAGGCCCAATCTAGTCCAGACGAGTATTGAAAGAATAAAGCAGGCAGAGAGCCCGCTTTGAAAGACGAAGGAAACGAACAGACTTTTTAGGCTTTGTTTCTTGGACCAGTAAGAAGGACTAGATCTCGAGAGAGTGAGAGTTTCGACACAACCATCCTTATCTTGTTTGAAAAATTACTGGGCACGAAGTATTTATTAAGAATTTAAAGATTGGTTCATTCACTAATAGCTAGTCCATTATTGACGGAAATTAGCTCCGGCAGAAGGAGCTAGTCTCTCATAACACGATAAACTAAGGTTCAGATTTTCTCTAAGAGAGATACACACATTTAGTACTTGACAGTATCTTAAATAGGATTGTCTCTGATAGACCTATGCTTTAGTGAAGGGGAAAAAAACTAGTCCGTTCCATTGAATTTAATCATGTTGACGAGAGAAATTCTTGTTGCAATAACAATGTTTTACTCCCTCCACGAACCATTTTTATATTACGACATATCCAACAACTGATCATTTGTAGCCTGTAGGACACTTGTCTGCCAATGTTGAAATCTAATCTTACAAAAATGGAGAATGTATTTTTCCTTCACGGTTTTTTCTCCCTCTTCTCAGTTCTCAGTAAGCATGGTCCTCTCTCCCTGAGTTCCCTTGCTTCACCAGATAATAAACTCTGGTTTTGATTGATTAATTGTACAAAACCGCATCCTACTTGCTGATTATTGTTCTCAACAAGGAAATTAATACAGCAGCATTACATCTTGGTTTAAACGTAGCTACATCTCAAGAAGAGTTAAAACGACAGTTAATAAGTATATGAAAAACAGATATATATATATATATATTTATAACAAACAGCCAAAGCATCACCTTCTTCAGAATTGATAGTTGTGGGGGCAATTCAATGCGATGGCTCCTTCACCAAACTGAAGACTCTGGATCCCTTTCTCTCTCCCTGGACCCCCTCCTTATCAACTCCATAATTGGCATCACCTTTCACTTCCTCTTTTCAGATTTCGCCATAAATCTTCTTTCTTTGTCTTTTTTGGGGGCTGAATTTAATTGTTGTTCTATAGAAACCTAAATTTAACAGTTCTTCTCTGTAAGTATATATCTAGTGACGTGAATGTTAGATTGGATCCATATCACCCACCCACCCAGCGCTCTAACTTCAAGAACTAACATATACATAACGTGAGTGAACAAACTCTGGATCTGAGGTTTGAGAAGATTGATAAATTCAGATCACTTTGTATGACTTTAACACAGAATTACACATTCATAAACAAATAATGGATCAAATCATCCACCATTAAATCTCCTACACGAACATGACAAGCAAGCTAATTATACTACTAACCAAGAGAGAGGGAGAAACAAATAATAAACTAGAAAATGTACATATATACTGCTCATTAACTGTGAATTACTGTGATCATCTGGTTAAGAGCTTGCTTTGATGATCTTCTTGGAAGAAGCTGGCAAGAAGACAGAAGCCAGATCACGAGGTACTTGGAAGAAGTTTTGAGAAGGTGGTGGGGCCATGACGACGCTTCTGGGAGCCGCCACTGTAACTCGTCGTGGCTTCTTAGGAGCAGGTGGACACTCCAATGGGGTCCTCAAGGTTTGAGAAGGTGAAGTGGGTGTGTGGCAATCGTCTTCCTCCTCCTCCTCATTCTGCTGCTGTGAAGAAAGCCCCTTTCTTGCTATTGCATGGGTTCTCACAGGCGTGATTGGCCAGAATTCTTCTAACGCTTGGAGTTCAAGACCCATCTGCTATATTATCTCTCGATCTGCACTCGCTGTATTATCAGACTTGACTGATTCGGTGGGTTATATATATAATAAGAAAGGAGAAATTTTCCGCGAAGGACGAGGGGGAGAGAGAGAAGGGAGAAGAGAGGCGTGCTGAGAGAAATGAGAGGGTGATGATGATGAGAGAGTTAGTGTGGAGGAGAAGGTGGGGGTGGTGTGGGGTACACATGGGGAATGATAAATATTGAATATGGAAAATTGCCCCAACAGTACACATGTTCATAATTAAGCAGACAAACCAAAATTTTCGGCTATATTACCCTCTCATTAAAAATAACAGTAAACCATAAAAATGTTTTCTGCACTACTGTAATCCTAGTCCTCGTAACATTCAAAATGGCTAGTGTGTCTTTTTTATATTATATGTATAAAGAAGAATAATGGTTAATTTGAGAGAGAGAGGAAAGGAATGATAGGTGTTGGGTTGGTATGGGAGTGAGTGTAAGAAAGTTAAAAAGGCATGCAGAGACAGAGGCAACGAGACCTTATCTGACACAAAGACAGATTGATAGCTTCACTTCATGTGGACGTCCCACTCCCCCCCACCACTCTCTCCCTTTGTCCCTTCTTTTTCTTCATCTTCCCTATTTGCCTTCTTTCCTGTTCCTCCCTCCACTCCACCTGTTATCCAAATTAAGCCCATATCATATTATTATATACTCCTCCGGTCCTTAATATAGGACCTAATTGTTGAGTTGTTTTTTATCCTAAATATAAGACCCATTTCTCATATTTATCATTTTCTCTTAATTACCCCTATGGATACCCCATCAACCATGATCAAGTAGAAGAGGAGAATGGGGTATTAAGAAAATGATTATGGTATTTCAAGAAAAACATGTCATATTCTTATAATTAACTAACTTACCTAACTTCCTTAATCTAATCAATTAGTTAAATAGGTCTATATTAAGGACCGGAGGAGTATAAGTAATAATAAGTCAACCTGTTATATATATTGTCTGTCTTTGTTCTCTTAACATTGCAGGGTTTGCTTTGCTGATTCCCATAATGTTCCTTCGCCCATGATTTTATGTGGATCTGATGTTTCAAGTTTAAATGGCACCTAGCTCAGTGGAGACTTAAAATTAATTTTCAAATTAATGAACAAGTTTCGGTCTGTTTCATGTGATCTCGCCAACGAGAATAGAATATATAAATCAAGTCTCACAATATGCATACATGTTGTTGGGTAGAGTTTCAAGGCTTTAACAGCGAAATGAGAAGTTAGTTAAAACGGGAAAAAAAAAAAGTGACTGAGGCAGCATCCTTTAAAGAGTAAAATTCTCATGAAGTTAAGTTAAAAGGAGACTGACACTTTCCTGCCTAGCAAATCCCAGGGATATATATCCCATTGGTTGACAGATATTTTAGGTTTCTGTATCAGATACGATGCTGCTGTAATTTTCATTCAGACAAGAAGATATATCAAAACGAATCCACAATGATTACTCTACATGATGCCCTTGTTTCAGATTAACCGCACTCCGATATGATGATAATAATAATATATATTAACGACGAGGATTCATATGAGTCTAATATTGTAATTTACCCCATATATATATACACACACACACATATATATATGAGATGAAAGCACGACAATATACGGGACTGATCTCATACGTTGAATCAACCTTGTCGAGAACAAAACGGATCGGGATCGGAGTTAGCAGACAAAATAGGATTAGGTTGGAATCATGTGTGTCTGATGGCGTTTATTAATAATTAATTACGAACACCCTATGGATATGTTGTAGCAGCTTGAAAGAAATTAAAGCCAACACACACACACACACACACTAGAAATCTCCATAAAACGTGGAAGCCACCACATGACATTTGATGATGAGCTGCACAATATAGTGTCTTCAAAAGCAACAAGCTTCCTCTCGATCAGTTGGATTTTAATTACCAAAGCTACATATGTTTTTTTATTCAGATCAAGTTAAGAACTCGTCGTCCGTTCATGCAAATAGACAATATATATACAAGGAAATAGCCAAGAATGTTTAATTTCATATATAGCGGACCATTAATTATTATTCAAATATACTACAGAAGCTTTTGTTTTAGATCCAAATCAAATCATCATGAGTTGTGTTTACAAGGAAAAGCTGCGCGACGCACATGTTTTTGTCTATGGAAGGAACATGTTTTGGGGGGTATAGTAAACTGAAAAGTCTTGAAACCAAAAAGCGCAAGAAAAATGGAAGCAATGAGGAAAGCAGATAGCTAGCCAAGACATGTGACAAGTGTTAAACTAGCCTTTGTGAGGGCATAAAGTTGCTTGCTTTGAAGGAGAACAGGTAAAGAAAAAATTGGACCTGGCTTTAATTTAAAAAGCTCAATAAAAAAAAATACCAATGGATTAGATCTAACAAAAGAGATTAGTTTCTCACAAATCTCATTAGAAAATTTGCCCTATTTAGTGCCTATCCACACCTTGAGCAAAATTGCCTCAGATAAGAGAATATATATATATATATATATATGACCAATTTAAAAGAAGAAGAAAAAAAGAGGGGAGCTCAATAAAAAGTCGTCAACGGAGCGAGAAGCACATGATGTTGGCGGTGCAGCTGATGTCTGGTTAATTATATGATTGCAATAGATATAGGATTATCATATTTAATTCAGTATATATGTTCCTCGTTAATTTCACAAAAGTTCCCATTATTCTTAACTGGGTTTTCTTTTAAAAGAGTATTTAATTATTTTAGACATGAAAAAATAGTTTTTTTATTGAATCAGCACTTGAAATAATCAGAATCTTGTTTAATTTTTAAACATGGATCCAAGAATTTAATTCAAAAAAAAAAAAGCAATTCCTTTCTTGTAAATTTTTTTTTTCAATTGAATATAAATAAAGCGCCACTAATGGGAACTGAAAATGTGACAACAACAGCCTAAAAGTAGTCTTGATGGATGATTTTTTTTCCTGGTCAACAAAACCCTGCATTGACGATTATTTATACTACAAAAAACAACTTTTTAAGATATCTTGTGTTTTTTTTTTAATGATAGCCACACTTCTAACAGGATACACTAGTAATAAATTAATTTAGTTGGAAAAAATTAATTTGAATTATATTACATATTATAAATGTTATACTCCCTCTGTCATCAAATATAAGAAAGATAATTTTAGGAGAATCTTTGTTATCATATATAAGAAATAATGTAGAATTCCGTGAAAATTAATGCCATCATACCAATAATGCTTGCCTTTCATAAGTAGTCACTAGATTCTCCATTTTTGGGTTCCATTACCATGTGAGGTAAATAAATAATGACTATGACTAATTATTGCTCCAACTATATTTTAATTAACTGAGGGTAAAAGAGAAAAGAAAAAATATTTCAGACACCAAATATCCGTAATACTATTTTTTTCAATTTGTGTGCATCACTTGATATCTGATAATTGTGGGAGTGTGTGTGTGTGTGTGTGTGTGTGTGTGTGTGTGTAAAGGCCAGCCTGATAGACTTGTTGATCAAGGTTTAAGCAAAAAGGTTTGCCTAATTACTTAATATGACCTAGCTATAGCCTTAAACTTGGCCTTTTAAACAAATCAAACTAGTTAAGCTAGGCACAACCCTGATCAGACTGCCCTCTTTTCATCATTAGTTTTGAGAGGGTGAAACTTGTTAACATTGAGTAATTGTATTATTATTGGGTTATTTCTTAAAAAATAATTTAGAAATAACTGAGTGCTATAGAAAATTAATCATTCTAATTTCTTTCATCTAATCAATCAACTTTAATCAGTATTTAAAATAATATTCAAACAGCTAATCTAATATTTTTTAGTAGACATGATGAATTGTGAAAGATATAGAAAATTGGATGAATGCAATTGTAAGATGCGGATCGATCCATGTATAATCACATTCTCTGTTTTCAGTTGCAAGACAACAGATGATTAATCTATAACTAGAAGATCAAATGGGGGGGGGAGGTAATTAGTTACATTAAGAAAGTTTTGCTCACATTGGGTCGAACAATTAATGATTGAATATGATATAATAACATTTAATTAAATATTTAGACAAGACCGGTTAAAAAGGAAGATGTGGGAGAAATAGCTTGCATACATGTTCAAAGGAATCTAGATGTGATTCATTGATTATTAATACTTTTTTTTGTTCTAAATATAAGATCTAGTTCATAGTATAAATTACACTACCAACCAGATTTTATATGTAGGACTATATTTAGTATAAGAGTTATTTAATTAATTTGGATAGATTTAGGAAATCAAATAAATGAACTAATTATAACAAATATAATATGATCTCTTTAAAATATCAATCTAATATTAAATTATATATTAGCTTATAAGTTAGGTAAATTAGTTTGGAGACAAATGTTATATTTGAAAAACAAAGTAAATTAAATTTTTATATTTAAAACTGAATTCAATTGTTTAACTAGCTCCTATATTAGGAGCCATAAGGGAGGATTTCTTTTCTGTGGTTTAATTTCTTCTTCCTTGCCTTAGCTTTTAGATTCCAAACCAAACACTGAGATTCGCTTTGTTGCAATTTTTATGGATAAAGTCAACACGAAAAGCGGGACATGTGGCCGGTTTCTAGTTCAAATAATCCTCTTCAGCTGCATGGATAAGCATCCTATGCAAGATAACTATAAGGAATAGAATATGTGACGTGCTTGATCGTTAGTGGTAGGCCACTGCTATGGTGGTTATACATACTTACACACACACAAATGTATATATATAACTGATAACTACTCTATATCTCAGACATTAGCGTCTAATGAACGAATGACAAATTTGAGAGAGCTTCCTGCTTATTGTAAAATGGAAGCTTTTTATGAAATTATGGATGAGACTGCTAAGGTATCCGATGAAGTTTGTCCTTACGCGTTATTAATAATAAGAAGCTTCACTTTCATGTATTTGTGCTGGCTTTGTTGTCTTCCAAACTTGTCACATGCATTGGTAATATTCCCTCTTGCAAGTTGCGGCATCTTCTATGATTCTTCATCAGCAAGGAAGAGAGAGATAGATATTTAGGCTGCATTTGTCTCTTGGTTACTTGC